AAGGGGGGATATGATCACCATGTATAATACATAAGGGGGATATGATCTCCATGTATAATACATAAGGGGGGATTATGAACTCCCATGTATTAATACATAGGGGGGGGATATGATCTCCATAAGGGAATATACAATACAATAAGGGGGGATATGATCACCATGTATAATACATAAGGGGGGGTATATGATATCCATGTATAATACATAAGGGGGATATGATCATCATGAATAATACATAAGGGGGGATATGATATCCATGTATAATACATAAGGGGGATATGATCTCCATGTATAATACATAAGGGGGATATGATCTCCATGTATAATACATAAGGGGGGATATGATCACCATGTATAATACATAAGGGGGATATGATCACCATGTATAATACATAAGGGGGGATATGATCTCCATGTATAATACATAAGGGGGATATGATCTCCATGTATAATACATAAGGGGGGATGCTGGTAGGTTATATGGATCCTATCTAAATTGGCCCTAGTATGTGTATGTATGAATGTGAGATTAGGGAACTTAGATTGTACACCCCTTGAGGGTTAGGGACTGATGTGAATGTACAATATATATATATATGTAAAGCACTGCGTAAATTGACTGCGCTATGTAAGTACCTGAAATAAATAAATAAGAAGAAGACAAATCATTCTAACATAATGAATGTTATGAAATGAAATTATTAACTTAATGAGCAAATCCAAAAAGAAACTGAACACATTTTTTCTGTCATGCGCATCTCTAGGCCACATAGTGTCTCAGAGAAGCTATGAGATCTTTTGTATGCTTAAAATATAACTAAAGGCAAAACTTATTTTTTTAGTTTTGAATAAAGTAGGGGAGAGGATAGAATACCTGTCAGGCTTTTATTGCTGTCTGTGACCGTATTAAGGAGATTCGCCTGTTCACCATTATCATGGAAAGTGGATGTAAAAGAAAATACCAAATTTTGGGTTTTCCCCAGAAAAGTATTAAAGGGGAAATCTTTCAATGGGGACACTAGTTCTGGTGACCTGGGGGTCCCCAAGAAGTTTCCCTAATTTGCAGGGATTTCCTCTCACTTCCTGTTTGGCTATGGAACAGGAAGTGAAGGGAAATCTCCGCAATGGGACACAGATGGCAAAAATAAATTTGACAGCGGTTATAACTCTTCCATGTGCTATCCAAAATTAAAAGTTTTTGGTCATAGTTCTACTTGAAATTGTTACTAAACCCACAACAGTAAAATCAGTCTGTATTTGCAGTAAAGCGTGCTTGTTATACTCACCGTGGAACCTAAGCAGTTAATCACCTGCATTGTGTAAAAATGCTGTTTGACCCTGACTTCTCTGATCCTCCCCTTCTTACAGTGTTCCCCTCTTAACTCCCAATAAGTATGTATATATCTGTGTGTATTGCTAGAGAGGTTTTTTTTTTCTTGGGAAAGTGCATGTGATTAGCACCGGGCCAATCAGCACTGTCCAGACAGAGGTCAGGGGTTCTGCATCCTCCAAGAGCAGAAAGAAAACTCATCCTACAAACTTTAACCAATGCTTGGTTGGACACTGATAAAAGTCACAAGATTGCTCTAATTTAATTCAGCGGTTCTCAACTGGGGGTCGCGACCCATTTGGGGGTCGAACGACCATTTCCCAGGGGTCGCCTAAGACCATCGGAAAACACATATTTCCGATGGTCTTAGGAACCGAGACACCGCTCCTCTCTCCGGCGATGTGTGGGCGGGATGATACGCTGCTCCTGTCACCTGGCCACACCTCCGGGATCGCTCAGCAGCTCCGCCTCCTCGCCGCTGATTGGCCACCGGAACTGTAGCTCAGGAGAGGCACACAGGCGGCCAATCACCGGCGAGGAGGTGGAGCTTGGAGAGGAGAAGCCGAGCGGCAGCGCGCGCGTAGATCAAAGAAGATCGAGGGAGCTGCAGGAGCGAGTGAAGAGGAGAGCGGCCAGAGAAGGAAGACAGCTGACAGGTAAGTGAGAGAGCGAGCCCAGGCTGTCACTAATACCAACGATGGGGCACTATTCCTCCCCCCACTGACACCAACGATGGGGCACTATTCCTCCCCCCACTGACAACCAATGATGGGGCACTATTCCTCCCCCCACTGACACCAACGATGGGGCACTATTCCTCCCCCCCACTGACACCAACGATGGGACACTATTTCCCCCCCCACTGACACCAACGATGGGACACTATTTCCCCCCCCCCCTGACCCCAATGATGGGGCACTATTCTCCCCTCCACCACACTGACATCAATGATGGGGCACTATTCCTCCCACTGACACCAATGATGGGGCACTATTCCTCCCCCACTGACACCAACGATGGGACACTATTTCCCCCCCCCCCCCCGACCCCAATGATGGGGCACTATTCTCCCCCTCCACCACACTGACATCAATGATGGGGCACTATTCCTCCCACTGACACCAATGATGGGGCACTATTCCTCTCCCCCCACTGACACCAACGATGGGACACTATTCCCCCCCCCCCCCGACCCCAATGATGGGGCACTATTCTCCCCTCCACCACACTGACATCAATGATGGGGCACTATTCCTCCCAGTGACACCAATGATGGGACACTATTCCTCCCACTGACACCAATGATGGGGCACTATTCCTCCCACTGACACCAATGATGGTGCACTATTCCTCCCACTGACACCAATGATGTGGCACTATTCCTCCCACTGACACCAGTGATGGGGCACTACTCCCCCCACTGACACCAGTGATGGGGCACTACTCCCCCCCACTGACACCAGTGATAGGGCACTACTCCCCCCACTGACACCAGTGATGGGGCACTACTCCCCCCCACTGACACCAGTGATGGAGCACTATTCCTCCCACTGACACCAATGATGGGGCACTACTCCCCCCACTGACACCAATGATGGGGCACTACTCCCCCCACTGACACCAATGATGGGGCACTACTCCTCCCACCGACACCAGTGATGGGGCACTACTCCTCCCACTGACACCAGTGATGGGGCACTACTCCCCCCACTGACACCAATGATGGGGCACTACTCCCCCCACTGACACCAATGATGGGGCACTATTCCTCCCACTGACAGCAATGATGGGGCACTATTCCTCCCACTGACACCAATGATGGGGCACTATTCCTCCCACTGACACCAATGATGGGGCACTATTCCTCCCACTGACACCAATGATGGGGCACTATTCCTCCCACTGACACCAATGATGGGGCACTATTCCTCCCACTGATACCAACGATGGGGCACTATTCCTCCCACTGATACCAACGATGGGGCACTATTCCTCCCACTGACACCAACGATGGGGCACTATTCCTCCCACTGACACCAACGATGGGGCACTATTCCTCCCACTGATACCAACGATGGGGCACTATTCCTCCCACTGACACCAGTGATGGGGCACTATTCCTCCCACTGACACCAGTGATGGGGCACTATTCCTCCCACTGACACCAGTGATGGGGCACTATTCCTCCCACTGACACCAGTGATGGGGCACTATTCCTCCCACTGATACCAACGATGGGGCACTATTCATCCCACTGACATCAGTGATGGGGCACTACTCCTTCCACTGACACCAATGATGTGGCACTACTCCTCCCACTGCAAAATTACAGTTATGAAGTAGCAACAAAAATAATTTTATGGTTGGGGGTCACCACAACATGAGGAACTGTATTAAGGGGTCGCGGCATTAGAAAGGTTGAGAACCACTGCTCTAATTGCTGATGAGAAAAGGTATTTAGCAGTTTATAGTTATTAAAATAATTGTATTTCAATGTTCTGTGTACTGTGGGAGACCAGATATAGTGAATGCAGGGTCCAGGGAGACCAGATATAGTGAATGCAGGGTCCGGGGAGACCGGATATAGTGAATGCAGGGTCCGGGGAGACCAGATATAGTGAATGCAGGGTCCAGGGAGACCAGATATAGTGAATGCAGGGTCCGGGGTTTAATAACACTTTAATATAATCAAAAGGAAGGGTAAAAGGGAATTCCTGCTTACAGAGGGCAAGGATGAATGGCCAGTCCACATTCAGGAGGTGAATCAAGAGAGATTTTTGTATATCTATTCCTGGTAAGAGAGGATTGGTGGGACACATAGTAGACCTGTCACCCAAGTTGAGGTCAGGCACATGTTTGAGTATTACTTTCATTCATTTCCAAAAGCCTCCAAATGTACTACATGATCAAGACATGTTCAGAAGAGTGCCTTCAGCACATCCACTACTTTTGAAAGTATTTATCAGTTTCCAAAATTCAGAGCTGACATCTTTTCCATATAAAAACAGGTCTCACTTGGGTCGTTTGGATGTCAGTGAGATGTTTGGTAGGAAGTGTCCTGCAGAGCAAAAGGCTAAATGACTTAAGGGCAATACGAAATAATAAACGGAAACTTTAGAGGTTAAATGGAGGCCTTAAGAACTGGGTGAGCACCAGAAGATCCAAGCTGAAAATAGTTTTATATTTTAAAATAAAGCGCCTCCAAAGCCAAGGCCATGAAGTCTACATATGTTTGTGGAAACTCTGCCTCCTGTGACAGTTTGGCCATGTAGGTTATATGTTTGTGAGTGGTCAAAAGTAGCCAAAAAAAAACCATGGTGCTATTATTTGGAGGAGCATAACTTGTTGGGTACTGATTGATCTTGTCCCCATATCTCCACCCACAGCCATAAGCTAGATGTGGTGTTACAAATGAATTCCAGGAATAAGAACTTGCAAGAAACAATTCTGATTACTATAACAATAAAAAAAAACTGATTCCGTCTTGGGGCTCAACATACAGTTGATTTTAATTTCTCAACCCATGCAAAGTAACTGTCAGATGCAAAAGTCAACCAAGTCCAGGAACACCAGGGCTTGCTCCTAAGGCTCATGAGTAAGCCAACATGTGTTTTGCATATAAGTGCTAGCCCTGATTACTAAACTTCTGATTACTGGACAACCAAAATGGTTACTACATAAAATTACAACCCAAAGGTCATAAAAGGACATAAAAGGGCAAAAGGGCAAGGGTTAGTATCCTAATAGCTGGCAAAATTGGCCCAGTTTGATTAGGCAATAAAAGGGAAATATCATATATATTAGTGCCAGGCATATAAGCTCTATATATTTATATACAATCTCCTATGTACATCAAAAACGTGATGATTATACACTTGTGAATGCAATGACCACAACTTATAGTCCTTCATAGGTGATATCCGTGCATATATGACTTTGTGCCAAACAGGTGCTCTTTATTCCTTGTGTCCACATATATTCTTAGATGTGCTCCTCCACCAGAGACATACAGATATACCCTCCCCTCCTTTTATGACCCAAATTGCATAGGTCAAATAGCTCCTTTCCCTTTTAACCCCGGTAGGTATAATGTGTTGTTTGCTCCATTCTCCTCTTCACTGTACTGCAGATAGTCTCGTCTCCTCTTTATCCCACATATCCTACCCAACTCAACCACTGTGGTAAACGCCTTGCCATGAGAAGACTTTTTCCATAGGCTTCATCCCAGAAACTTCAAACCATAAGATACAGGTGCTGGGTCTGGTGATACAAAGCCTTGTAGCCACAGCTTCAACCTCCAGTACCTGTGCCAGATTTCCACTGGTGGGATTAACCTTGTTCCTTTTAAATATTAGTCTTCCCTACCTCTATGGTCCTTATGATACTCAATTGTGCTTTCTCAGTTGCCTAGATGCATTTTGTTTTTCATGCAAAACTGAAAGGCCCAGTGGTGCAACCTGCACACAGATGGTTGCAGTTTCCTTTAAATCTTCAGGGTTGGTCCCTCTAAAACAGTGGTTTCTCAACCTTTCTAATGCCGCGACCCCTTAATACAGTTCCTCATGTTGTGGTGACCCCCAACCATAAAATTATTTTCGTTGCTACTTCATAACTGTAATTTTGCAGTGGGAGGAGTAGTGCCACATCATTGGTGTCAGTGGAAGGAGTAGTGCCCCATCACTGATGTCAGTGGGATGAATAGTGCCCCATCGTTGGTGTCAGTGGGAGGAATAGTGCCCCATCACTGGTGTCAGTGGGAGGAATAGTGCCCCATCACTGGTGTCAGTGGGAGGAATAGTGCCCCATCACTGGTGTTAGTGGGAGGAATAGTGCCCCATCACTGGTGTCAGTGGGAGGAATAGTGCCCCATCACTGGTGTCAGTGGGAGGAATAGTGCCCCATCGTTGGTATCAGTGGGAGGAATAGTGCCCCATCGTTGGTATCAGTGGGAGGAATAGTGCCCCATCGTTGGTGTCAGTGGGAGGAATAGTGCCCCATCGTTGGTGTCAGTGGGAGGAATAGTGCCCCATCGTTGGTATCAGTGGGAGGAATAGTGCCCCAGTTGGTGTCAGTGGGAGGAATAGTGCCTCATCATTGGTGTCGGTGGGAGGAATAGTGCCCCATCATTGGTGTCGGTGGGAGGAATAGTGCCCCATCATTGGTGTCGGTGGGGGGAATAGTGCCCCATCATTGGTGTCGGTGGGGGGAATAGTGCCCCATCATTGGTGTCGGTGGGGGGAGTAGTGCCCCATCATTGGTGTCGGTGGGGGGAGTAGTGCCCCATCACTGGTGTCGGTGGGAGGAGTAGTGCCCCATCACTGGTGTCGGTGGGAGGAGTAGTGCCCCATCATTGGTGTCGGTGGGGGGAGTAGTGCCCCATCATTGGTGTCAGTGGGGGGAGTAGTGCCCCATCATTGGTGTCAGTGGGGGGAGTAGTGCCCCATCATTGGTGTCAGTGGGGGAGGAATAGTGCTCCATCACTGGTGTCAGTGGGGGGAGTAGTGCCCCATCACTGGTGTCAGTGGGGGGAGTAGTGCCCCATCACTGGTGTCAGTGGGGGGAGTAGTGCCCCATCATGGTGTAGGGGAGTAGTGCCCCATCACTGGTGTCAGTGGGGGGAGGAGTAGTGCCCCATCACTGGTGTCAGTGGGGGGAGTAGTGCCCCATCACTGGTGTCAGTGGGGGGAGTAGTAGCCCCATCACTGGTGTCAATGGGGGGAGTAGTGCCCCATCACTGGTGTCAGTGGGGGGAGTAGTGCCCCATCACTGGTGTCAGTGGGGGGAGTAGTGCCCCATCACTGGTGTCAGTGGGAGGAATAGTGCCCCATCATTGGTGTCAGTGGGAGGAATAGTGCCCCATCATTGATGTCAGTGTGGTGGAGGGGAGAATAGTGCCCCATCATTGGGGTCGGGGGGGGGGGGGGGGGAAATAGTGTCCCATCGTTGGTGTCAGTGGGGGGAGGAATAGTGCCCCATCATTGGTGTCAGTGGGAGGAATAGTGCCCCATCATTGATGTCAGTGTGGTGGAGGGGAGAATAGTGCCCCATCATTGGGGTCAGGGGGGGGGAAATAGTGTCCCATCGTTGGTGTCAGTGGGGGGAGGAATAGTGCCCCATCATTGGTGTCAGTGGGAGGAATAGTGCCCCATCATTGATGTCAGTGTGGTGGAGAGGGGAGAATAGTGCCCCATCATTGGGGTCAGGGGGGGGGAAATAGTGTCCCATCGTTGGTGTCAGTGGGGGGGGAAATAGTGTCCCATCGTTGGTGTCAGTGGGGGGAGGAATAGTGCCCCATCGTTGGTGTCAGTGGGGGGAGGAATAGTGCCCCCCATCGTTGGTGTCAGTGGGGGGAGGAATAGTGCCCCATCGTTGGTGTCAGTGGGGGGAGGAATAGTGCCCCATCGTTGGTGTCAGTGGGGGAGGAATAGTGCCCCATCGTTGGTGTCAGTGGGGGGAGGAATAGTGCCCCATCGTTGGTATTAGTGACAGCCTGGGCTCGCTCTCTCACTTACCTGTCAGCTGTCTTCCTTCTCTGGCCGCTCTCCTCTTCACTCGCTCCGGCAGCTCCCTCGATCTTCTTTGATGTACGCGCGCTGCGCTCGGCTCCTCCTCTCCAAGCTCCACCTCCTCGCCGGTGATTGGCCGCCTGTGTGCCTCTCCTGAGCTACAGTTCCGGTGGCCAATCAGCGGCGAGGAGGCGGAGCTGCTGAGCAATCCCGGAGGTGTGGCCAGGTGACAGGAGCAGCGTATCATCATCCCGCCCACACATCGCCGGAGAGAGGAGCGGTGTCTCGGTTCCTAAGACCATCGGAAATATGTGTTTTCCGATGGTCTTAGGCGACCCCTGGGAAATGGTCGTTCGACCCCCAAAGGGGTCGCGACCCCCAGGTTGAGAACCGCTGCTCTAAAAGATAAATATTTGATGTTTAAGTGGTTGCTATGCAGGATCATTGGACTAGGTAAACATGCTCTGTTACTCTGTCACCCTATGCCATTTATTATTTTGGTTTACTGGTGCCAACTTTATATCTTTGTCTATCTGAGATTTACTTAGCCTGGTTCTTTAGGCTTTGCTGTTGGTCGTTTCTGTTATATCTCATACTGCAAGTTTTCAGAAGTGATTTCCTACTTTAGTCATACTCAATGGGGTGCCCTAGGGGCTGAAACTGGGAGTATCTTCACAAGACAGTCATACTCAATGGGGTGCTCTAGGGGGCTGAAACTTGGGAGTATCTTCACAAGACAGTCATACTCAATGGGGTGCTCTAGGGGGCTGAAACTTGGGAGTATCTTCACAAGACAGTCATACTCAATGGGGTGCTCTAGGGAGCTGAAACTTGGGAGTATCTTCACAACACATTCCAACAACATGATCAAGGACTGTTTTAAAGACCAAAGCTGCCTTGAGGAAAGCTGCATCTTCTACAAGTACCATACCTAAGGGCCTTTAGTGAAGCTTTACACTGGGTCAAGTCTTCCTTCAGCCTGGGAATCATAAAATGATGCTACAGAACATTCTCTGTCTGTGCCATAAACATCTATTTTGTGGATGCCAACCACAGTAAAATAGGTACCCTTTCAGCAGAAAAAAAATGCCACATGGCCAAAATATTTTGAATTATTTAGGCCTGTTAGGGAGTCCTGAAAGGATTTTGTTCATCCTCTT